TTTTAAAACATACTATTATAAAGTTGTATTTTTGCAAAGTATGGAGATCTTTTGGTATACAATACAACAAGCTTTGATTTTTGTTACTTCTACTGCTCTGGCTATCAAGCTTGAGTATGTTTTGTTTGTTCTGAAGAGTCTTGTGGAATAAGTATTTTATTATATTATGATATCAGTAATATCTTTATCTAATAGTTCTGTTTTGGTAAAGATTATTCTTGCTATTTCTGTTTCTATTGAAGTCATTCAAATATTTTCCAAGTTGATATTAATATGTTTGTATTTTTTGATACACACTCTTATTTTAATTTTACCTTTTTGATAGTTGTATATATTTAGATTTTTGATTTTGCGATATCTCTTGAAATACTCTTTTAGTTAAAATCAAGTTGTTTTTTTATATATATTTATTAAACTGATATAGAATATCTCTTCACTTTCTTCCAGTATCAACTTCTTGAAGAATTTCTTTTTATCAATTTGTTGATTTGATTTTTTAAGTTGTGTATTCTTTTTTTTTCATTAGAGTTTAGTTGTTGGATGCTAAAGTTTTCTTCCTTACGATTTATTTCTTCTATGCATTTTTGAAATCTTTTTCTTTATTAACATAGAAAATTAATCATTTATTACCATTCAAAAATTCTATATACAATAGGTTTCTTAGACATATCAATAATTTTAATAGACTACTTATATATGCGAATGTTTCTTCTTTAATATATCCTGGAACATTGGCTGTCATGGTATCAATTTTGTAAGTTTTCTTTTTATTCTTATAATAGGAATTGTTTGTTACCCTTCTTGACAATTTCTGGTAGAGTAAGTATTGAGTTCTGCAATACTTGGATCTTGTACTTTTTCTCAAATTTTCTCTATTATTAGATCTTTCTTCTTATTTATATGAGTTGTTGTTTCAGTTTTTAATTTTTATTTATTTTCTAAGTCCATAATAATTTCCATGGATTGGCAATTGTTTTGTTTTTTCTTGTTGTTATTTCCTTTAACAATATTTAAATATTTATCTTCTAGAAACTATTGTTGTAGATCTTCTTCTCTTTCATTATCTTATTGTCAAAGGTATATAATATATTATATTAGATACATTTTTTATAAAAAGTTACTCTATCTATTTCCAATATTCTAGCAATTATACTATCTATGACTATAAATGTTTTTGATAATAATGTGTGTTTATAATTGATGCTTGTTTTTTCTTTTTATTGAAGCAACTACTGTATTACCCACATTTAATATTTCTCATTATACTGTCTGACTATATTAATTAAGATATCTAATATTTTGTCTTCTTTATTTTGTACTATTTGTAAAATTGCTTTAGATTTGTTCATATCTATAGTAATGATATTGTGGGTGTTGAATATGTATTCTATTTTGTCACAGGACAATTATTTGAATATCTTTACATGTTTTTCTTGCTTATATTTATCAGTAATCTAAATATAGGTTACAGATAATAATGGGTCCCTAAAGTATTTAGCATATAAAATTTCACAGATCACTTATGTCCTTTTTTGAGGGACAAAATTCATAACTCTTCACTTCAATAGGGACAAAAATCAGGAAATGCTATAAATCAATGATTTGGATAATGGAGAACAATTGTAGATAGTTTTTTTATAGTTGTTAATTTAAAAATTTTAATGTTTCCTAGTGAGGGACATTTGACTTATGTCCATGCCTCCCTCTTTAGGGACCTATCTTTAGCTACAGATAAGTTCTTTTGATATTATTATTGTTTATGTGTATTTGTTTAGGTAATATAAAAAATCTTATTGTGTTGTTTTGATTGTTTATTTATTTATATTGATAATCCTATCCTAATTTAAAAGTTGTTGCCTTATTAGTATAAAAAGTTGATTAACTTGTTTAGACAACAAGTTATACATATACGTATTTGTTTTTTGTCTTGTTTTTATATATTCATATTTATGTAATAAGGTTTGGAATAGGTATGTTGTTTTGATAGGTATGTACATTTAGATTGTCTTGTCTTTAGGAAGCTTTGTTATCCTTTTGAACCTTAATATAACTGAAGCAACTTGATTTATCAAGCGAGCTTAGTTGCTTTTTAGGTTTTTTATAGTGTTAAGAAAGGTGTTAATCTGCACTGGTCTAGCTATAAGATATATGAAGTTGATATTGACTCCCTCTTCTAACTGTGAATCAGTTTTCAGATTTTCTTTTTTTCTCCTAAAAAATTTTAAAAAAAGAAGTAAAAAGTTAGTAATTTAGTGTATACCTCTATTCTTGATGTTTTCTGATAGTTTGATATATTGTTGTGGGTTAACCTGCAAAGTCTATTGCTAATTTGTAGTACCTTGCATAACCCATATGACTTCCAAATACTTACAACTGATACAAAGAAGAGAATGCTTCCTATAAAGAACACTTAAGAAAGGCAGAGATGTGGAGATTGATTTGACTGAGGGTAAGTATCTCTTTATTCATGTTCTATTTCTTTGGTATATCACTAACTCTTATTTCTATTCTCAATGAGGACTATTTTTCTAATACATTTAGCACTACCTTCTCGGCATACATTGGTAAGCTATTTATACTTTTCTAACTAACAATAAACTATCTACTTTATAATCAGCTATACTAATATTAAACTTTGCTAAACTTTTCATACTTTGTCAGATACATATAGTTCCCTTATTAGTATCCAAACTTTAATCTATAGTTTCTTACCTTGCAACATGCCAGACTTTTGGATTTTTGAATTCTAGACCATTACATATAAATCTATCACCCACGTGATTTATGACAATATGTATATTAAATATATTATAAGTGCTTGATAGTTTAATCTAGAATTTTGTATTTCTTTCTTGTGTATTTAGACTGGTTTACTTTTTTTAAAAAAATTATTAAAAAGGAAAATTTTTTAAAAAAAGAGGATCAGTGAAAAGAGTTAAAACAATTAGAGAATTTAATATTATGTTTCAATTTGACTAATAAATTAATTATAATTTTTTTTAAAAATTAATTGTAGTTTTTAAAAAACTTTTTTTAATAAACAGACATAAAATATATACATATATATAAGAAAAATATATTAACATAACAACTCTTTCTGCTGATTCTCTGATTATACAAAAAAGATGTTTGCAAGAAATTTTATACTTCTTTGTTAATAAAGTCTTAACACTATCCTTAAACTAACCTGAAGTTTATTTCCAGGACATCACCCCACCTCTTTCTCTTGTTTACAATTATCTTCAAACTAATTGAACTCTTGTGGCCTATAAAATTCAGTCTTTACCTTTACTATCTATGACAAGAAAGTTTTTAAAGGGAGAAGGACCACTAGTGAAGTACCTATTATCACTTTCTTGAAGCAAAGAAACAGAATATAATAGAGATTTTCTTCTAGTTAAAGGACTCAATTTTTCCCTTTTAACTTACTTTGTGGTCTTTAAGAGCCATTATTTCATAGCTTTCTGAGGAATTTTATCTACACCAGCTTGACTCTGAATTTTTGGGTGACACAAATTCCACTGTTGATATGAAACATATTGAATAAGATTGATAAACAAGCTCCTATTGGCCACTTCACATTTCTGAATGTATTTTTTCAGTCTTATAATAATTTGAAGTTCATAATAAGTCATTGTACCTAGTATTGGTGAATACAGGACATGATATAACCATATCTCAAGATACAAAAAAGAGTTAATTTAATTCAAATTATTTGTCTAGCTACTATAAAAGAAGAAGGACTTATTGAATTACAGAAAATTGCCTATAACAAGACAAGTCTTAATATTGTGCAATACTGAAAACACAAATCAATTTCAAAATAAAGGCAAAGAATTGAGCATTATAACATTTTTTATACAAGAACAAGTCTCTTCTATATAACAGGATAGGTCGCAACTCAGGATAAGTCTTTAGAGAGAAAAAATTTTTTTTTTCTTTTTTAGCATTAATGATATATTCTCATATAAGAGACTCTCAACACCAATGGCATTGGGTATCTTAAGTGAGTTCTTGGCATGTTAGCCTCCCTCATAAAGGATAGCAACAAGTCATTCAGTGGGTCAAACCCTAGGAAATATCATTTCTGATTTTAGGTATATAGTTGGGATCAATAAATACTTGAATTTCCATATTCCTATAGCTTAGTTAAAGTTGAGAAATAGTTCTACACTAGATGGTCACATAGTTATTCCATCCTGGTTGGGTAAGATGTAAATAAATGCCCTTTGTACTATTAGTTGATTTGTAAATCCCTAGACAGTAATGGGTGATTACTTATCCCAGTTGTCTTTAGTACATATTTTAATTTTAACAAAGCACACGAACTGGCCCAAGAATGGGCTAGTGTTCAAAAAACATACATATATATATACTGTACAAGAAAAACAATTATTGATATTTCTAAAATTGTTTTTAAACATTAAATTAATTATAATAATAATTTGAATAATTTTTTAATAATTAATCAAATTTTTTACAAAAAATACATTTTTAAAAAATTATAAGTAAATCTTAATAAAAATAATTTTATTTAATTATAATTATTAAAAAATAATAAGCAATATTAATATTTATATATCAAAAATCAAATGTTTATAACTTTATGAATATTAGATATATTTTAAATATAATTGGTTTAAAAATTATAATATTTTAACCTTTAATTAGTCGGAGTTACGATCATCACGTGATTTAAATAAATGATTTTGTCATAAAATACTTCTTTTACTAGAGTTGACGTAGTAAAACTTTACGAGTAGTCTCATTATCATATTCAGGGTTACAATATTCGAGAAACATAATCTCTCAACAAGCAGGGCATATGCCGGACTTTCTAACCAACTGACCTCATTTGGAAATCTATAGGGAATTCTTTGCATTTAACACATCACATTTATTGTGACCGCCTTTAAACAAGTGGTTGTACGGCAGACCCTCATCAAAAATTTTCCAATGAGATATCCTTTACATACCAATAAGCGCCTTTTCTTTGCTGCTTAAAACACCAAAGCCATTTTGATTGCGCCAACATAAATTGTCCTACCTTCGGAATTCCCGGCGGTTGCGGCTTTCTTATACCAATGAAATGTCTTTTCTTCATCTTTCGGAATACAAAACCAATTTTGATAACACTTTCCTAATTGGTTTGTCCGAATAAATCGTGGAGTTCTGCTGAAAGTTGAAAATGTTAAAATACTAATTCGGCATCTTTTTTCGCATCGCAAAAGTCACAGGGATGGCAAAATTCAAGGAGAAATGGAAATAATGTGGGATATTTTTGGTTTCATTTTTATTATCGGCTTTTCAATTATTAGTCGGAGTTAGTAAGCGCTTGTTTAACTTTCTCGATAAATTCTTTTTTTTTTTCATCGTTTGGCTCAGCAACAGTCGACAAGGGCTCATTATCGAAATCAATATTTCGTCTACTCTTTTGGTTTAGATAGTAACAGCTTCCATTCTAGTCGTAATATTCTGAGTGGATTATACAAGATCAGACTCATTTTCTTCCGCAAAATTCTGATTTTCTGTAACATCGTCGACTAAAAGAAATTACTGTATTAGAAACTTACATGACATTATTATAACAATATAAAATAATAATTACTAGTTTGAGCTATTGACTTTCTCTCACAATCAAGTACTGTATCGCTTAATTTATGAACTTCTTTGATCGCTTTGTATATGCGTTTGTCAATTCCCAAAGGGAATAATTTCCTTGGAGGAAGACTTAAAAAACAAGCCCCAAGAACACCGACTATTTCATGTTTGTCTTTTGTTTCTTCACAGATAATTTTTCGATATTTAATAGACTGCTCCTTTACTTTATTTAAGTTTTTGACTATTTGCGGCAGAACATATCCAAGTATTTTTGTTTCAATAACTACAAGAATTCCATAATCATTTGCAAAAATCAAATCTCCTCGATCATTTCCACGTTGGTATTCGAATTCGTATAAATATTTAAATCCTGGAAGCCACTTTATATTGATTTCCTTTATAAGTTTATCCTGCAATTTTGCTTCTTTTGTGCTTGTGTTCTCATCGCTTATATATTTTGGAAGTTCTTTTTCCCACTCTTCAATTTTTTCTTGATGAATAGCGGACAAAATAAGTTGATGAGGATAGTATTTTTGTAAAAACCGAAAAATCGCAATCAGCATGTCATCGAGACTTTTTGTCTCCCATATATAATACTCTTTGTCTTGAGCAATAACTAGCTCGAGATATTTTGGTAGGAATTTATGTTCATCCATGGGATCTTTTTCAATTTGATTGACTTTTGGATTTTGTTGGATGAAGCGTATAAACCGACCACACTTCCAAACACTCCATTCTACATTATTAGTGTCGAATTCTTCCTGAATGGATATGTTCATTTTTTGTATAATTTAAAAAGATTGTGGCTAGCAATAAAAAAGGCGTCTTATTTGGATCACATAGGTTTACACAAACGCAACACTGCATATCATTAGCCTTTTAGTTTCTATATTTCCTAGTGAAATCACAATTTAAGTACAGTACTCCTGCAAGACCGGAATACCATAACAGAACACAGTTATGGTATATATCGACTTTTTGTACTGACTTGAATACTTCGGATAAAAAGATAACCGTTAACAATTTATGCGACAATGATTAGTTTCAATATTTTCTTGATGAAATTGCAAAAGAAATATGTACAGTATGTCGAGAAAAGATGAAGAAAAAAACATCAAGATGATTCTTGACTTAATTTTTCATTATTTAGCAATAAAGCAACAAAAATCGGAGGAAATTATTGACTTGTGTATAAACAATGAAGTACTGTAAATTCCACTGCGTGAAATATTCTTGCAAGTTGCTATCACTTTGGTAGATCCGGTATTTTTGAAAAAACGAATAAAGACATTTGAATATCATAAATCTGCCGGAATGTGTTATGAAGATTATGTACAATTTAGCAATTGTTACTTTGAAATTGTAGTTGAAAAAGACGAACATAAGGCATTCAAATGTTACCAAAGATTGGCTAAGATGGACCATATAAATGGGATGTTTGATGTTGGTTATTACTACATCAAGGAAATGAATCTAAAAAGGATGAAAATAAGGCATCTGAATATTATCAAAAATCTATTGAGAAGGAATATGTAGATGAAATATATTAATGTCAGCTGATAAATATTGGCAAGTTGAAATGAAACCCAGTGAATAAGAAAAGAGCTGCCTTTATCATCAAACAGTATTGGGCAAACTTGCAAGTTTATTGCTAATTTGTAGCATCTTATATAACCTAAACAACTAACAATAAACATATACGACTATATTAAAAGAAGAGAATACACCTTATAAAGAAACATTTAAGAGAGGCAAAATTGACTTGGCCAAGTGTAAAAGTCTCCTTTATTCGCATTTTGGGTTTTTTTTTATACTAACAATCATCTCTATTTTCAATAAAGACTGTCAGCACTGCTTTGCAGCTTAGATTTATAGGCTATTTTCTAGTTAACATTGAGCCATTTACTTTAAAATAGGCTATTCTATAGTAACTCTAAACTTTGCTAAACTTTTCATACTTTGTTATATAAATACAGTTCCCTTATCAGTACTTAGACCTTAATTTATAGTTTCTTACCTTGCGACACGCAATCTTACATATCAAACTTTTATTTTTAGATTCTAGACCTATTATATATAAATCATATCATCTATATAACCTTTGACACTATGAAAACTTAATAATTTAACAATAAAACTATTTCAAAGAAGCAGTATAATGAAGAGTTACATTAATCTTAAAGGACAAACAATTCTCAATAGAAGACATAAAATTAACTTAAAAATATACTTCAAGAAGCAAGTAAAAAATATCTTAAAAAAGATAAAAAAGCAAAAACATTATAACAATCCAGATATTAAGATACAAAGAAATAATGAGATTATTATTTCTTATTTGACAAAATATACAGAACTTATAAAAAATACCTATTATTTAATATGTTAAATACATAAATATAAAAGAAAATAATAGAGCTAATAATAGTTATTAATGAAAAAAACAAAAAAATTAACAATTCACTCACCAATTAGTACAAAAACTCCAATCTCTATCTCAAATAATATCAATGGCTTAGTGAACTATAAGAATTATAAAAAGAAGAAATCTATATTACAATTAGTAATAAATTATTAAAAAAAGTCCATAAATAATAGAATTAGAACTACTTTAAATATTAATAGAACCAATCAAAGAAGATAATCAATAGAATACTAAACTGATTATCAAGAAAGATAAATACAATAAAGTTAATTAAAATATGATAGTACATATTATAATAATTACAGATCTTACCAAAATCAAAACTAAAATTCAAAATCACTTCAAAAAGTAGATATGTCTTAAAAATATTTAATTTATAGAACTATTCAAATTGTATTAATAGATATATTTTACTTAAATATATTAAATCCAAATAATACAAATAGTATATAGACAAAATAGATATACAAGAAATTTATAAAGCAATATAATTAAAAACAAATATTGTATATCAGAATCTAATATCAATATATTATCCTAAGAAATCTTGATTTTAAAAACCTTCAGCTTCTTGAAATTCTGTTCAACTTGATAATAGAAATAGAAAAAATTTACTATAATAGAAATATAGAAAGATTTATTTAATTTCTTAATCTAAAGACTGGATAAATAATATTAATATCACAAAACTTATCATTTTTCTAAAAACTATAAAAAAGTATTAATATTAATTTTAAATAATTATATAGTAACAACTTTTAATATATATTATATAATATCAAGAAAAAACTGAGCTAGTTTTCTCAATACTAGTATATAGTAATCAATTTATATAATAAACAATATTATGAAAAAGGCAAGAGAGTTTGATAAAAAATATAGATCTTTAATTAATACATAATTAAAATATATAATTTGATTAATAGAAATATATTAATACTGGTACTGAAATATATCAAGCTATTAAAATCAATTATAATTATTTTTAAAGACACCTTTACAAATAGATATAATAAAGTAATTATAGTACACACATATATAAAAGAGTATAAAGTCTATAATGGAATCAATTAAAATAATATTAGATTTCTATTACTATAGAGAATTTTCTATAATCTATTGCTATAAAAAATAGAAAAAATATGAACTAAAAATAATATAAACTATTACTATATTGTTGATATCAATAGTAAAATAATATCTATATCTATTATAATGCAGATAATTATAATGATAGTATACATAATAATATTAGCCATTATATTTCAAATAGAAATAGCTTACAAAATATTCTAATACAACCTCAAAATTTCTTAATATTAATAATTTTCAAGTTAATAAAAATAAATTATTATTTATATATATTAATACTAATAAAATTAACCATAAATAAGAAGTTACTATAATAAAAACAATGATTATATTCTTAAAAATGATGAAACAATATGAGTTCTAAAGGTTTAAATCTTAGATTATAAGAAAAAATAATATCAAAAATAATTTATTAAAAAAAAAAGCTGACAACTATATTAATATTTTAAAATAAAAAAAAATTACAGATAAAAAAACATATATAATAAACCATGTCTTATATCTAGTATTTGAATATCTTCTTAATAATATTTCCTTGTCAAAATATTAATATAATTGAATTAACAATAAAATAGTTATAATTTTTAAACACAAAGCTAATCTATTCTCAATAGTTTTCAATATGATTATTTATACTGACTTCATATATAAACTCTTTAATATGTGAAATAAACAAATATATATATAAAACAGAATCAATATATTACAGAACTAATTTTGATAAAAACAGTTAATATTATAGTAGCTAAAAGTTTGAAACCAATCAATTCAAGTAAAGATCTATTAATAATAATATAATATACAATAAACAAATCATGTTTTACTTCCAAAGAAATAAAAAAAGTACTAAATAAATTAATATTATTAATTATGATTTCAAAAATTGTTCTACTTATTTACATAGAATTTTTTTAGTAATATAAATATTATATATAATTTTTTTTTTTTAAAAATGCTAGCTCAGCCTTGCATTATTTGTGATTATATAGTATCAATACATAGAAGCTATTCTAAGATATATTACTTGTTTACTATCAAATAACACTCAATAGAAACATTTTGTATGAAGGTATTCACCTTGCAGCTTATTGTCACCTCCAGAGTGAAGAGCTAATCTGTTAAGGTTAGGTTAGTAATGAAAGAAATTTCAAATATAAAAAAGTTATCTATAAGATTTGTAATTCATTGATTCAAAAACTTATTGATCAGATGTGTGAATTGGTCTTTTACATGTTTTTCCTGAGATGTAAAGGTAAGATCTTCTTCTCTTGTCTTATATTTTACTAATTTTTTTTTGTTTGATGATTTCATTCTTAACTTTTCACTCTTGAAAGGTTTCACATCTTCTTTGCTATATTTGGTATAGATATTTGATAGTCTTAAGATAAATTGTGTTATATAGTTTTTTCTTTCTATTCTATCTGGAATTGCTGTTTTGAGGTTGTATATAAGTTCTTTGAAGAAAGTCCTTTTGATGTCTGCTATCAAGTATTCTTTATATTTCAAGTTGTTTTTATATAGGAACTGAATACTGAACAGTTGAAATCCTTTTTTCTTTATGAGATTTTCCATATATTTGTATAGTGACTGCTTATTTTTATTGGTTGTAAGTATATAGTTATTATTTACCAGTTGATTTCTTTAATTATTTATTCACTAAAGTTGCATCTAGTTCTATTTAATAGTTACCATTTTGCCAGATAAATGGTGTTTGTAAGCTTTTGTGTAACTAATTTTATAAGAACTTTAGTAAAATGGTTGTTTTATTGTGGTGCTATATCTATTTCTGGATCTTTAATCCTGGTGATTTCAATTTCATTTTTTTCTGATTTTATGACTTTTCATGAATCTATCCATATCAGCTGGTCTATCATTTCATTGTATTTGATTCTAGAGTGACCTTGCACTTTGTATAGTAATAATTTGATCTTTCTTTACTTGCATATGGTTTTGATCTGAAGTAGGAGATTTGAATTTTTTTGTTTTTATAATCCTGCTTTTGTCTTTCTTCTGAACCTTTTCTCTTCTATTAATGACTATTTGGCTATCTGTGTATATATTTACTATACTGTATTTTGGTAGTATACTTAGGGCCATTAAAATTATCACTATTTCTGCTCTGATAGATAATAGATATTGTTTAATCTGTTCTTGAAATGTATGTTTATCTAGGTCTGGAGTGATACTAATCCAGTCGAAGCCCATGTGATATTTGCCCTTCAAGTTTGTAAGAAATCTATCTGTATAGATATTGAAGATGTCAAA